TAACAAATCTTTTATTCGATTTTGTCCAAAAATTGTTACTCCATGTACATGTACAATGTTTTTCCATGTAAGATAGTATATATATATATATATATTTATATATATATATTATATATATATATATATATATATACACGGCACGTTACCAGTTCTTCACCGACATCTCTCTGTCTAAATATAAGGTCATGCAGAACATACATTGCGCTTGTTTTCACTTGAATATAGTAACACTCAATTCATTCGCCTGCCATAGTTATTTGATCTCAAACATGGCACACATTTAGCGATAGCACATGTCATGCTGTCAAGTCGTGCAGAGTTATTCTTGTAACACTCAGGACTACGAGACTAACTTAGGTGGTAGCATCAGAATGTAGATCTATGTAGATGTAGAGCTTTGTTGGAAGCAGGCATGTACTGCCCGCTCTCGTTTGTTGTGTCATTCACCATTCTGACGCATCTAATCTTGTCGCAAAATTGCAGCGATAAAACTACAGTGCATCTACTGTGGATAAATAATGTCTGCAGGGTGCGATTCGAGGTTTTATGGACATGCATTGACTAGATGCTTGCTCCACGGCACAGTTCTGTACACGTACCCAATCAATCGGCGCGTTCCGTTGCTTCTACTGGAAGCAGCCGAAATTCATTTGATTTATCCTGAGGTACAGTAAACACCCGCATAAAAGAACCCGTGATTTTCTGTTTCAGGCTGAAGAGGTTCTTATATATATGGTACATAGTGAGAAATCAGCCTGAAGAGGTTCTTAAAAAAGTTCTTAAAATTTTTTTTTGGGGGGAGGGGGATATATTGTGTACATTATCCAGGTAAAATTGGCTTTAATTAGTAAATAATTGACACTAATTAATTAACCAACTGCTTCATATTAGAAATTATATGTCTGTTTAAATTCATTTGAGTTCATTTATTTATCACCTTTAATTTACTTAAATCATATTAAACACAATAAAAGGTCAAATGCTGTGAAAATTGATTTGGCTAAGACTAATAGTAGACAGTTTCCAATGGTGTAGCACACATACTTGGATTGCCCCAGTTTGCTCTAATTTTCGGTATTTTTTTTTTTATATAAGAACCTGTTCAATTTATCAGGCTGAAGAGGTTCTTATATAATAGGTGCTTTATTGGTCCAATTTCAGCATGGAGGTTCGTAAAATCACGGGTTCTTTTATGCGGGTGTTTACTGTAGTGTTATCGGAATAACTGATGTTAGCTATACATGTGTGCTACTGCTGAAAGTGTTCCATATTTGTGAAGAGAAAGAGAGAAAAAATAGTGGCTAATATTTAGGTAAAAACGAAAAAGAAACAATGGATTTCTTGATTGTAGAAAATTTTACATACAAAATTCTATACTTAGAATATTGACGACATTTGGTTGAGTGTCTTTTCTGTGTACATGATCCTATCATATACGCACTAAGTAAAAAGAAGCTGGCCATAATACTCTCACGCATTAGTAAGAACTCTGTCACGAGTGAGCTAGGGGCTCACTATCACATATATGTATACCCATTCCCGTCTCTCTCTCTTCTCTCTCTCTCTCTCTCTCT